ATATATATAAACTTATAATATTTGCTTAAGGCAATTATCAATAAAACTAGTCATTTAGATCAAAAGTACCAAGTCCAGACACCATTGCTACCATGGAGAAAATAGTCAAAGAGTTCAGGCTCCTTCCTGATAAGGCTGAGGTTTTAAAACAGATGAAAGTATAAATTCAGCACCGGTGTTATCTGAAATCAAAGCTGCAATGAACACAGTCAACATCTCTCAAAGATAACAAGAGTTTATTAACAAAACAAATTCAACTTTACAGTTAAAACATTTTATTTAACCAACTCAGCTGCCAACACACAACTAAACCTAAAGGGGAAAATAATAATTAATAATTAAACGTTTGCTTTAATGTTTAACCAATCTCAACAATTAACCATATTAGGCTTAATTGTGATTTTATACACAATCCATTCATTACAAAAACAAACTTGACATAAAAAGTCAGATATGTTATCTCTTTAAATAAACTTCTTTAAATACTTACATCAGTTCCAAGATATTTAATGAGATCAGAATAAAAACTGATTTCACCTTTTATTAGTTTAAATTAAATAGATTCTTTACATGGTTCATATTTATCTTGCAAATAGAGTGAAATATGAAAATGTAAAATGTTTGATAATTGGTTTTGGTTTTACAGTGCTGATGACCACTAGCACTCTATCTTTGCTTTCTACCTTTCACTACATTCATGTTTATTTTTGTAAAATACACACATTATTGATGAAAATAATCCATTCAATCTCCTTATTTTGTTCCCACAGCCGTTTCTTGTCGAAAGCTGGACGATGGGCAGGCAGACGTTGAGGTTTGTCTCAAGCTTGCCAGCCCCATGCCTCCTCTCACCCAGCTGTGCCATCTTCCATGTCAAGATGACTGTCAGCTCAGTAGCTGGTCCAAGTTTTCTACCTGCACAGCTGACTGTGTGGGCGTCAGAACCCGCAAGAGGATACTTGTAGGTCAGTACCAGACATTTGTATTATACAGCTGAAACCTAACAGTTATACATTTTAAATGAGACATATAATCTTTTTTGTTAATGTCTGACAATAAATAATCAGTTGGGTTTATCAAAGTGATTTTTAATTGCTAAAAACCAGATTAATTAGAGAGACTCGTACAAATGCTTCTAAAATATTTATTTTAATTTAAATGTTTATACATTAGGAAGACCATGCTTTTAAAAGTTTGAGAAAACCTAAATAGTGATGACATGGATGGGACTGAAACACTGACAGAAAGAACTGGACTGAGCTGTGCCAACAGCAGGCTCTGGATGTTGATGGAAGTTGATTTAATTTAGCATAGCTTTGTCATCATGACAAACGTTTCTTAATCCAGTCTAGTCTATGGTCATTAAAATTCTACCAACTGATTACTGAGGGTGTAGGCAATGTTTGTGTGTGCATTTGCGTGTTTTATTTTGATGTGCATCAACCAATCAGAGTCAAAACTACACCTATTGACATATTTCAGAAAGACTCAAGAAGTAAAATCTACCAGGCCCATATTCTACTTTAAAGACAATGTCATTTCTTTGATATGAAGTGTTTCTCTTTTCTTTTTTTTACATTTGACCCTCACTTCTTATCATTTGGTGATGGTAATGTTCCAACCACCATTAAACAAAAAGTAGTAGAAGAAGAACCAAACACAGCCTCTAGAACAGTGGTTCTTAACCTGGGTTCGATCGAACCCCAGGGGTTCGGTGAGTCGGTCTCAGGGGTTCGGCGGAGCCTCTGCCGCGGAGGTAAAGACACACTAGTCGTGATGACGCCCCCGCTTTACCATCACTTGCTGCAGAGGATCATGTTACATTGCTGAGCCAATCAGTGCTGCAGAGGAGCACTGATTGAAGGAGTTCCTCTCTCAGCATGGATTTGAACTTGTGTCTTTAATTACTTCAGTAAAACTCACCGTTTTTACCAAATTCTGTAGCTTTCGGTGTACTGCTAAATCTGCTCCTTAGTCGCATCTTTACGGGGTTGATACTGCCTCTAGTGGCGTGGGGATGGTAACACAACTAATATAATTACATTACTAAATCAGAATACAGCAAAGTCTTTATTATTTATTATTAAATTTTCATTATCTTAAGAATGTAGAGCTAATTAAATGATCTAAACAAGACCTTAAAGTGGTTTCAGTTTCTTTCG